CGTCTTTATACTGAGCCTCTGTCGAAAATGTTGAATAAATGTTTTAAACAACCTTCATTTAAGCTGGAGTTTATGAGATGCTCAGAACTTAATCATTGATTTGGCTTTTGTTATTTCCACTGAGATTTTCTTGTTAGGAGGTGTTTTTGACTCCTATTTTGCCCGAGGGGGTTGTTTATGAACTATGTTTTGCCCGAGGGGCCGATTATGGTTTTCAGCTCTTTTATTAAAAATGGTATTGAACCCCTACTAAAACTCTTGGAAGATATTTTTAAATGATTTTTACCAAAAGCTGTATTTTAAATGAGACGATTGACTCGTATTTTGATTTGGAAGCCTGATGTGCTTATTGAGTTTAACATAAATGTGGATTCATTTTTTTCTACTGCTCAGTCTTTATTTACTCTTATTACTTACTGGGTTGGAGTACTCACATTACTCCCTGCACCTCGTGTGCAGATTCAGGTATTTCTGAGCTTGGTGGCAGTTTCATCGGAGTTAGCAAGGTAGTTGCCTGGCGATCGTGGCTCTGCTTTCTGCCTCTTCATTCTTCCTTATGCATAAATTGTGACTTCTTCCGATCATGTTGGTCTTGATGTAGTTAGACAGTTGTAATAGATGCTCATGACTAGTGACACCCCGATGTCGGGCTTGTAGGTTATTTCCGCACTGTTCAGTTAGGCTTATATTATGAACCATTTGTTTAATTAAAGGATTAAAAAATGACTCTTAATGATTAAAGGGTTAATATGGGTGTTGTGTCGGCTGGCCTTGTCTTCAGGAGAGGCGCCATCACGACCGGTCCGGCTTGGGATCGTGACACTAACAGTCCTGCAGCCTCCCAAAGATAAGTACAGACGTCTCCGTACTGATCTGCGGGACTCTACTAGACTTGCTCATGATTCTTGAGACCCTAGGAACATAGTGCTCTGATACCATGTTGTCACGACCCAAATTACACTAAAGGTCGTGATGGCACCGGACACCACTGTCAGGCAACCAACCCAAAATACTTAATTAAATTCTCATTTCAATACTCTTGAAAACTATGACTTTTCTTTAGATTTACCAATTTAAAAGATAATCATATCAAATCAAATTAAATAATAAGCAGTTGATACAAAAATACTTTACAACCATCCCAGAACCCGGTGTCACAAGTGCATGTGCAATTTCTAAGAAAAACTCGAATAAAGTACAACAGCTGTCCGAAATACAATTGGACAGAAAATAAATAAAATCCTGAGAGAGACTATACTAGCTACGGGTCTCCTCGAGGAAATACAGCTCACCTAGTCTCCGTGTCAATCATGCTGCTACGCCTGCTAAGCCATTAGTGGCGCATGTGCCTGTGCAACAAAAATGCACAGAAGTGTAGTATGAGTACAAAAAGAACGTGTACTCAGTAAGTATCCCGCCTAATGTCGAAGAAGTAGAGACGAGATGGCAACTTCGACACTTACTAAAGGTCCAATAATAATATTATTAAAGCGATGACTCACGGATTTTTTAAGAACAACAATAGATTCAAATGAATTACTAGATAGGTAAAAAGTTTCTTTTTATAAAAAGCCTCCAGATCCATAATCCTTTAATTAACAACTGTATCAAGTTGGGAGAGCAGCTACCAATGTCAATAAATATCATGGCAAGCAATATAAGAATGCGCAACTCACGCCGAGGTCGTACGGCCCGATCCAACATAAATGTAAAATGTGCACTGCCGAGGGCCGAACGACACGAACCATAGATGCATCTATTACCCCGCTCGCGAATCATACGTGCGACGCGGTCAAACTTAAATAAACAATCACCCTGCTCGCGAATCATACATGCGACGCAGGTACACGTAGTAATACACGCTCAAACAGCCAATTAAGAATTTATCGGGAACATTTATCCAAATAATAGCCAATACTCTTTTAACGATTTAAGAAAATGAAATTTAATCCTTTTAGAAATTCATTTATCAATTCGATAGGATTTAAGCAATTCAAACTATCAATAACATTACAAGTATTCTAAGTACAACATGCTTTTGGGTCCTAGACTACCCGGACAATAACATAATAGTAGCTACGCACGGACTCTCGTCACCTCGTGCGTACGTAGCCCCCACAAATAGGAGCACATTACCAATTAATTCACCTATGGGGACAATTCCCTCTTACAAGGTTAGAAAGGAGACTCACCTCGCTCCGAAGATCCATTACCGACCTTTCACGCCCTTCCGAAAACTCAAACTGATGCACAACGGTCCAAAACTAGCCAATAGTTATGCAAATCCATTAATATACGATAAACTACTCATATTAATCCAATTTATAACAATTCCCAACCCCAATCGGAAAGTTGAGAAAAATGCCCTCGGGCCCACGCGCCCGGATTTCAAAAATTTTCGAAGAATAAGTTTACCCATAGCCTCACGAACTCAAGTATATAATTTTCTCTAAATTCCATACCCAAAATCGTGGTCAAATTCCAAGAATATTAATTTCTAGGTCTTTCTACCAAAACCCCAAATTTCTACCAATTCACATGCTAAAATCTATACATAATCGATGTATTTAACTCAAGGATGGGATTGGCTTAACTTATCGTTGATGATGAATAATCCCACTTGAAGCTCTCCAAAATCTCCCACACCAAATGAAAAATAGGGGCGAATGACCAAACCCCAGATTTTCAAAAGAGCCACTGCCTCCAGCACTTTCCACACCTGCAGTCCTATGACCGCTTCTGCGGTTCCGCAGGTGTGGGACAACCTTCCGCTTCTGCGGTTATGCTCACTAGGCCTCCCTTCCGCTTCTGCACCTCGTCCACCGCAGGTGCGGTCCCGCTTCTGCGGCCCCACGACCATATCTGCGGTCTCTTCATTCCTGACCCCAAAACCGCATCTGCGCCGTCCTAGCCGCTTCTATGGCTCCGCACCTGCGGCGAAACCCTCGCAGGTGCGGTCATACCAGATACCAGCCACTTCAGCCTTTTCCAAAATTCCATTTTCGATCCGTTAACCACCCGGAATCCACCCGAGGCCCCCAAGACCCCAACTAATCATACCAACCAGTCCCAAAACACATTACAGACTTGCTCGAGGCCTCAAATCATAACAAACAATGCTAAAACCACGAATCGACCTCCAATCCAAGCTTTATGAACTTTAGAACTTCGAACTTCTACTCTCGATGTTTAAACCTATCAAATCACGTTCGATTGACCCCAAATTTTGCACACAAGTCATATTTGACATTACAGACCTACTCTAACTTCCGGAATAAAAATTCGAGCCCGATATCAAAAGTCAACTTCCGGTCAAACTCTTTAAAAACCTTCAACTTCTATCTTTAGCTAAATGACTCCAAAATGACCCACAGACCTCCGAATTCACTTCCGATAGCGCTCCCAACTCCAGAATCACCATACGGAGCTACTCCCTGACTCAGAATCCCAAACAGACATCGATAACAATGAAACGCACTTCAACCCAAACTTATAAAATTTCTTCCAAAATGCTAACTTCCACAATAGGCGCCAAAACGCTCCCGGGTCATCCAAAACCCGACCCGGACGTACGCCCGAGTCCGAAATCATCATACGAACCTGCTGGAACCTTGGAATCCTGATTCCGAGGTCGTTTACTCAAAAATCCGATCTTAGCTAATTCTTTCAACTTAAAGCTTCTGAAATGAGAATTTCCTCTCCAAGTCAACCCGAACTTCCCGAAATTTAATTCCGACCACGCGTACAAGTCAAAATACCTGAATTGAAGCTGCTCATGGCCTCGAACTACTGAACGGCGCGCTAGGGCTCAAAACGACCGGTCGGGTCGTTACAAATATAATACAACTAATTTTAACTAAACAATCAAAACAAACTTTGTTTGGGAAAACAATACAATACGATACAACTAACAACAACCATCCAAAGCTTACAAGTATTATACAAGTACTATAATTAAGTTACTATTTGTGTTTAACACTACAGGACCGACGTTTAAATTTGAGACCACCACTTATGCATATTAGGCCTCATGAACCCAACTAACGAATTAAATATTTCCTTCGTTCTTACTTAATTATCATATTTTTCTTAAATAGATATTTCAAAATACTTTTTGTTTTACAAGAATAAATAAACAATTAGTCGTACTTTTTCAATTTTACCCCGCTATTAATTGTTCTCAAAAATATCAAAGGTCGATTATATTGCATTTGAATTCTACCTTTGAAGAGACCAAAATGTGAATTATCATACCATTTTGATTCCTAGGCCTAGTTCTTTTAAATATTTAGTTACTTCATTAAGTTAAGCAACTGAAGGGTTAAGCGTTTAATTGGGATTTCAGATAGTGAGACCTATTTTGATATAGCTGACCATGACACACTGTATCCATCCTCTTTTCATCAATGAGCATGAGTTGTTCTTGCCGGACAAGTATCCATTCTGCACCATCCAACTTGGCTTCCTGGATTACTCTCAAATATGGTATCTCCACCTCTGCATGTATTACAGCTTCGGTGCCATATACCAACATGTATGGTGTTGCCCCGGTAGATATCCTCATAGTAGTGTGGCAACCAAGTAGGGCAAACAATAGTTTCTCATACCATTGCTTGTGATTGTCCACTATCTTTCGTAAGATCCTCTTAATGTTTTTGTTGGCTGCTTCAACTACTCCATTCATCCGTGGCATGTATGCTGTGCAATTACGATGAATTATTTTGAACTTCTCACAAATTTCCCTCATGGGATTGCTGTTGAGAATGGCAGCATTGTCATTTATGATTAACTCTGGAATCCCAAATCGGCAGACTATGTTGTTACATATGAAATCTTCAACACCTTCATTGTAACAGCCTTGTATGTGAAATCTTTGTCTCATTTGGTGAAGTAATCGATGGCTACCAAGATGATACGATGTCCATTTGATGTGGCCGGTTCTATAAGTCCAATTACATCCATGCCCCAAGTGGCAAACGACCAATGAGAACCCATTATGTTTAATTTATTTGGCTGAACCCGGATGAGATCCCCGTGAGTTTGACACTGGTGACATTTCTGCACATAGCGAATGCTATCCCTTCCACTATCATCCAAAAGTATCCAGCTCTTAGAATCTTCCTGGCTAGAGTGAAACCATTCATGTGAGGCTCGCACATTCCTGCGTGTATCTCTTCCAATAACTTTGTTGCTTTAGCAACATCTACACACCTTAACAGACCCATGTCTAGGATCCTCCTATATAGGACTTCCTCGTTAACGAAAAAGTGATTTTCTAGTCTCCTCAATGCTCGTTTTTGACTGTTAGTTACATTCTCTTGATATTCTCTTACCTCTAAGAACCTTTTGATGTCATGGTACCAAGGCTTTCCATCTGGCTCTTCTCCTACGTGGAAACAATATGCATGCTGGTTTGAGATCTCTATCTCGATGCGATCGATGTAATTCTTGTTTGGATATTGAATCATGGATGACAGTGTTGCAAGAGCATCGGTGAACTCATTCTGGATTTTGTGGACATGCTTGAACTCGATCTTGGGGAACTTCTTACGCAGTTCCTTTACACAATGAAAGTACGAAATGATCTTGACATTCTTAGTGGTCAATTCTGATTTTTACACAATCAGAATCTCCTATAGCCAAAAGTTCCTTGATATTCATGTCCGCCGCCATCGAGATCCCAATGATGCACATCTAATCAGCCATATTATTTATATGAGGGAACCTTATCTTAGCTAAAACCAGATAATGTTGTCCCGATTCAGAGATTAGGACTGCCCTGATTCCTACTCCCTTGAAATTTGTAGCCCCATCGAAAAACATCTTCCATCATAGGTACGACTTCTGAAATGTCCTCCCTAGTAAATAACACTTCATCATTTGGGAAATACATGGTAAGTTGCTCATAATCCTTGTCAAGAGTTTTCTGCGAGATGATCGGCCAATGCTTGTCCTTTGGTAGCCTTCTGCATCACGTGCACGTTGTCAAATTCATAGAAGAATCTGCAATTTGGCTAGCTTTCCCGTAGGCATCGACTTGTGGAAGATGTACTTGAGTGGGTTGAGTTTGGATATCTGTGGTATATTCCGACAAGTAATGTCTTAACTTCTGAGCGATCCAAGTCAAAGCACAACATGTCCACTCTAACAAGATGTAGATGGCTTCATATGGAATGAATTTCTTGCTCAGGTAGTATATAGCTTGCTCCTTCTTTCTAGTCTCGTCGTGTTGCCCAACCATTGCATTGACCAAGACGGATAATTATAGTAGCGGTGACTTCACACGTTCAGGAGGAACGAACACTGATGGACTAGATAAATACTCCTTGATTCTGTCAAAAGCTTTCTGGCATTCTTCTATCCATTTTATAGCGGCGTCTTTCTTCAATAACTTGAAAATCAATTTCCAGATTACTGTTGAATAGGCTATGACGGTGTAAATCAATCATCCAAGGAAACTCATTACGTCGTTCTTGCTATTGGGAGGAGGTAAGTCTTGAATAGCCTTGATCTTCGAGGGATCCAGCTCTATCCCCTTTCTACTGACAAAGAAACCTAACAGTTTTCTTTTAGGAACTCCAAATGCACACTTCACAGGGTTCATCTTCAAATTGTAACTTTGCAGCCGTTCAAAGAAGTTCCTCAAATCACTTAAATGATCCAAACTTTTGTGTGATTTAATGATGATGTCATCCACGTATACTTCAATCTCTTTGTGGATCATGTCATGAAAAAGAGTCGTCATGGCCCTCATGTAGGTGGCACCGACATTCTTATGACTGAATGCCATGACTCTGTAGCAATAAACCCTCTTATGGTGTGGTGAATGTTGTATTCTCTGCATCTTCTTTGTGCATGAGAATCTGGTGATATCCAGTGAGACAATCCACAAATGATTGTAAATCATGCTTCACACAGTTGTCAATAAGGATATGGATGTTTGGTAGAGGAAAGTCGTCTTTGGGACTTGATTTGTTGAGATCTCGATAATCCATGCATATCCTAATCTTCCCCTCCTTCTTTGACATTAGTACGATGTTCTCCAATAGGTTAGGGTAATTAGTGACCCTTACCACATTTGCTTTTATCTGCTTGATAACTTCTTCTTTAATTCTTAGACTAAAATAAGACTTGAATTTCCTAGGTCTCTGCTTGACTGGTGGCTTGGCGGGATCGGGGGGCAATCGGTGCCAGAGGATATCAGTACTTAATCCAGGCATGTCATCATACGACTAGGAGAATACATCGATGTATTGTCGGAGGAGCTCTACCAATTCTTCCTTATGTTCTGCCTTTAAGTGAATGCTGATTCGATTCTCTTTTACATCTTCTTCACTTCCCAGATTGATCACCCATGTCTCTTCGAGGTTGGGCTTCTTCTCACTTTCTAGCTGTTCGATCTCTTGTGGTAGGTTCTCGGGCATCATACTCTCATTGTACTCTTCGTATTCCAGATCGTTCTGCTCGAGGGTTTCGTAACGTGTCATAATCGCGGAACGTGGTTTTCTTCTTAATTTGATTGCGGAAAGGAAAATTTGAGTATAAATAAAATAAAAGATAAATTTTCAATGATTTTTAGGGAAATAATTGTTTTATTTCATAAAAGGGAATGTCTCAACGTTCAACGAGGTGGTTTAACAAAAAAGCACAGGCATGGTTCAAGCCTCAGACCATGCAGTTCTTAAAATTACTACAATTCCACACTACCAAGACACCCGGTTGTTGATACCCAATTTTTTCCTATATAACTTCCATGTACAAAATACTCTCAAAATAGCATATATATGCATATATAAGCATAGCTAAGCGTTTTGGCATTTTCCCTAATTTTTAAAGATTTTAAAATCAATTTATTATCCATTTTAGCAGTACAAAAATCAATAGTTATTCCCAAAATTATCATTTTGATGAATAACTTATTTTATTCTCATATTTACACCAAAATATAGTTAAGGTGATTTTTGTATATTTTTACAAATTTATTTGGTATTTAAAAGACTAAATTGCATATAATTGCAATTATAGCCTACTTTGAGATTAATAGCATTTTGTAATTGTAAAATTGAGTCCAGTATTTTTAAATTAATGTTTATATACTATTAATTGTTTCAGTACATTCAATTTGCTTTTTAAATCATTTTACTATTTTTATAAATAAAGGGGAAATTGGCTATTTAACATTTAGCCTAATCTTATTTCAAATATAGCCCCATTTCCTTTCAATTTTAACCCTTAAACTGACCCAACCCCAACCCCAATTAAACCAGCCCAATTCCATTTTTAACCCGGCCCCAACCCAATCCAAAAGCCCGCCCGGCTTATGCTTTTAATCCGAGCCGTTGATCATTTTGATCAACGGCCAGGATTCCTCCTTGCCATTTTTAACTCCCCACCATACCCTAATCCCCCATTATTCGTTTAGCCAGCCGCCTCTAAATACCCTCCCCCTCTCAAACTCTCTCGAATGTTGTTGAAACCCTAATCACCTTCTACCATTTTCAACCTCCAACTCACCGGAATCCATGGCCTCTCAGGCCAAGGATGGCCTATACTCACCTCCTATTACTCCTATGTGCCTGATACCTGAAGATTCGAGGCCAGACCTCGAAGGTCTTCACTCAGACCTTCGTCGACTCGAGGTTTCCGGCCATCTCCGGCCTTGCTCCGGCGTATCCTAGCCTTCTGAGTCTGATTCCGACCTTCTCCGACTCCGATCGGTGACTTTTCAATGCCTTCTCGTTCTAGGGTTCTTCTGAAACCCTAACCTTTCAAGGTTTTCTCCAATTCTTTTTAGATCTGTTGTGTATCTATGCTCTACTTGAGTTTTCAAATGATTTCCCTAATTTTTCTTTTGAAAATTACTTTCAAAACCATTATTTTCCGATTTAGGGTTTTCTGGAAAGTGCTTAAGTGTTTTATGATTTTCTTCTTTGTTATTCGTATTGTTTCTCTTACTGTGTTTCCTATATCATGTTCTCACTTGCTTTCTACTGTGTTCTTAAATTTTTTCTTTTACCATGTTCTTGTATGTTCTTTTACTGAGTTTTATACTCCATTCTTGAATGTTCTTTACTGTGTTCTATATGGTTCACGCTTGTGTTTCTTCTACCATGTTTTCCATATTATGTTCTCAAGTGCTTTCTACTATGTTCTGGTATTTCTTCTACTATGTCCTGCTATACTATACCTTTCTACTGTGTTCTTTGCTATTTTCCTTCTACTGATCCTTGTTTAGGTTTCTTCTGAAAAAAAAAACCTTAAGCATGTTTCTTCTACTCTTTCTACTGTGTTTGCATGTTTTCTCATGGGTTCCTGAAGGAAGCCTCTGAGCCTGTTTCGACTACTTGCCTCCTCATCCCTGCATTTGATGCTAGGTGGAAACCCTAGAATTTGGGGATTCCGCCGAGGTTTGATTATGTGAACTAAGGTTTTGTTTAGAACCCTTAACTCCTTCAGACTGACTTTGAGTCTCTGAACTAAGTTTTGACATCTTTTGTACAATTCTGAACTTTTTGCTAAAACTCTCCTACACCGGAGTTCCTACTGATTATACAATGGCTCGACAAGTTTCTTACATGTTTAATGTGTCTGTATGGTTTATATGTGATGAATCCTTCTTCAAAAAGGTTTTGAAACTAGTGATTGACTCAGAATTCCTTTTTAATAGGTCTAATTGATTGTTTGCGGATTTTCCTTAAGTTAAAACCTTTTCCATCTTTCTGACTCGGTTCATTCATACCAAATCTCAGGCCTTGTGATTTCGTGGCTGTTAATTGATTTTCTTTCCTTAAATTGTACAACCATGTATTTCAGAAACCCCGTCCTTAAATAACCTTTATGTATTTGCCTTCAATTGCATGTTTTACACAAGCGTTTGATTAATTTCTTTCCTTAATTGTTTTATACCCGTTTGAATTTGAATCCCTTAATTAAAGGGAGTCTTATGTAATTGATTGACAATCAGTCTTCAATTATTTTCTTACCTTATTTTCTCATGACTTTCACACTATAAATACACGACCCTTTTTTCACAAGGCACACACGATTGAACACACTTCAAACTATACGATTTCACAATCTCTTCTGAACTCTCACTTAAAAGTATTATGTCTTCCTGTCCGCACTTTGGCTTTTACAAGACTACTGCTTTTCTTACTTGTTTCCTTGAAACTGGTATGTCCTAAATTTAGTTTCAGTTTCTTCCCTTTGTAGTTGCTTTACAGTTGCTAAACTCTTGTCTACTTTGCTGTTCATGTTCAGTAGTTAAATTATATGTGTTTCTTTCCTTGTATCTTGCTTCTATTATGAAACCCCAGACCCCATTCCCCTATGTTTGCTGAGTTAAAGTTCATGGCCTGGCAGCATCCAAATTGCTGCCCAGGTTTGAACCTGACCTTCAATAGGTCCTAACTCCCAGTTTAAAGCTGACAGGCTGGTCAGGGGTGTGCCAGCATCCCAATTGCTGGGCATGACCACCAGCCTGCCATGGCCTTCCCTAATTTCCCCTCTATTGTTCTTACACTTACTTCTAGACTCTAAGTTCTGCCCCCTCCTATGAGCCTTGCCTTGGGACCTTGAGTTCCCTCTGAACTTGGACATTTGAGGGCTGGCCCTTCCACACTGCACTATAATTCTATAATGATATTTAGGATGTAAGCACTGCCTGGAGTTCA